CACAGCAAGAAGGCCCTGGGTTTAAATCCACCATTTGGCCTTTTCTGGCTGGAGTTTGCAGGTTCTCCAAGCTGTCTGCGTGAATTTTCATTTTCTGTGGCAGCTGAAGAGAGTTACGTAAATATTGTCATCTTACGTTTGGCAATGAAGCAACTAATCATGTTTTAAATTTCTTACACTGATTTACAGCACATCACGATCATTAGGTAGTGAAATAAAACTATAGTTGTCCTCATTCAGTAAGAAACACCCCTAAAGACAGATGATTAAGAAACTTCTGCTGGTGTCTTGGCGCCCAAAACCACAGAATATATTTGGAAGTTCAGGGCATGGACTCCTACATACCTCCTACTACAAACCTGCTTTCTGGGTGCACACGGACGACCAAAAACTGAACAGACAAGAGGCAGTGTCTCACATTGAAGGACATGCACTAATAAATTTAATTATCTTCTATTTAGCTGTTTTTTTTTTTTTATTATATCCTCAATCAATCACTTATTTGTCTGTTCGTCTTTACTAGATTTAGGACATGTTTTTTTTCTTGTGAAATAAGGCATGACTGGGATGCTGCAGGAGATGATGCTGTGTCTAAGCAGTGCTCATTTTCCCCTCTCAAACTGATTAAGACCAATCCAGAGTTAACCTCGTCTTAGCTTCCTCTTGTAGGATTACTGCAAATCTGATGTTAATGACTGATTGTGGTGGTGATTATGATTGTATGTGTAAGGAGTGGTGGGGGGTTGAGGCGGTATTCTGGGGTGGGTGGTGGTGGATGGTATTTGAGCTTGTTTTTGAAGTCTACCAAATGGTTACTTTGTAGAGCACAAAGTAACCATGTCCATTTCTCCTCCCTACTTCACTGTGGCTGCCTGAGTATTAAAAAAAGGAGAAAAAAAAGTTACTCAATTATGCAACTCACATCAGGCTAAACACAGAAAAGGAGGGGTTTCACTGACTTCCATTTCAGTAGCACCCTTAGGGAATTGTGGGGTTGTGATAAAAAGAGCAAAAGACAGTATTGGCCATTGGACTGGAGCAAAAAATCCCAGAATCTGCCCTTAAGACTGTAACTTGACAAAATTCGATTTTGGTGGAATGAGGTTGGGAATCCTAAGAGGAGCAAGGAGAGAGAATGTGCTTGAAATTCATAAAGCAAAGCAACACTGGTTGCAGCAGTAACAGTTAGCAGCTCTGGCCACGTCCAAAGTATGATTTATGGGGAAGACGTCCGGGGTCCTGTGATTTACAGTGATGATTGGATTGGAGCGCTCATCAAGTGCATTCAGGCTGCTGAAATAAGATAAAAGAGAAGGAGGCCCGAATATTGTTTTTCAGAGTCTACTGCTTTGCCATGTTGAACCAGTCTTATGTGTTTTTACAGTTTTTTACTCAAGTAACATTTCTTAATGAGGTAGATGGGATTCTTCTTCTTCTTTCACTTTGTACTTGAATGCTATAAGAAGGCTTTTCGTGGTATCCCCTAATCTCTTAAGAGCATCTATTAGGAACATTTATGATTAATGAGTTACAGCTATCTACAGTAGCAGTATAGCTGCAAAGTGGAGAGAGGAGAGGTTGAGTTCTAGTAAACGGCGGGTTTTTCGGCCTTTCCCTGACACTAAGAGATGAATGTCTTCAATAGATGAGCAGAGCACCCCAGGTTTTCGTTCCACAACAGCGGTGTTGTTCTAGATTAAAATGAGTGTTTGCGTTGTTTGATTGCCGTTCACAAAAGACCCCCCACAGCACAGAAACTGGTGCTTTTGAAAAGTGTTGCTAGGATACAATCCAGCGTAAAGATGAAATCCCTTCTCTGCGGCTTTCGAGGAGCTGTGCAGCTCGGACATCATGTCCCAGCATACCGTGCACATGGTATGGTTTACAGTGCGTCTGCCTGTTTATGGCGCGGCTCATTTTTGTGTGCGTCCCCGCCATGCGTCGGCGTATTAAAACGTTTAGTCATACAGTAAGTCCAGCTTTGTTTGTGTCATGCAAAGCTGCCATATTACATGCACTCTCTTCTGTCATAATCCGTTTTTCTGTAATAAGACTCCATTTGTCTGGCGAGTGCTGATATCTCAATCCTACTGTCACACCTCTGAGTCTCTGCCAGCTGACACCTCAGGCTGTTCACAAAGAATCAATAGTGTCTGCCTCATGTTCAATTATACTCTAATCAACACTCGCCAAACCAGAATGACCTCAGACAGGTCTGCTGGTATTGAGCTGATGCTCAGTGCTGTAACACCAGAAAATTAATATATGAGTGTAGACGAGGCCTCCAGGTTTGGGTTGATTGACAGACAAAACTGTGGAGTAAATTGGAGAATTTTCTCTGTGTTATTACTCTGCCGGCTCTCAAAATGTCAAAAGATGTAAAAAATGTTTTTTTCTTTCCCTGTGGGTTCGTTTTGTGGGCAGTACAATTTGAATTTCTTCTAAACACATGAACCATTTCCAGTGTGACCTGATTCTACACCCTTAAGTAAATAAAGATACTGAATTAACAATTTCACGGCAAATATTTTCCACCTTTATGTGATCTCTCCTCCGCTTCTTATCTCTGTCAAAGCTCTCTTTGTGTTCCCTCACACACACACAAACACACAGCTGTTGCTTTTCATATTGTGTTACTGGGAATAAGGCTGAGAGCTGGTGGCGTGGCGTTAAGATTTTAGGGGTAGTGAGTAAGAGACGAGACGCCTGCTCAGCTTAACCAGCGCTCAGGGTTTCTTCAGGAAATTGTCCAAATGCCAATCATCAGGTGTCAGCCTTTCAAGGATCCGACGCCTTTGAGGCTGACGGGAATCAGAGACGTGGTGAAGATGAATTTTCACTGTCATGGTCCACGTAGTGGCGACAAATGGCTGGTTAAACTTGTTATGTGCTGTGACACAAGTTGATCGTGATTCTGTTTCCACGTTAGAGACGCTGTAATGCTGTGATAAGAAGACTACACTTTGAATAATAAAAATGAAAAATAATAAACACACACACAGACTCAGAGGATAGGGAGAGAGAGAGCATAGAGAGTGATAGAGAGAAAAGGATGAGTCAAACCAGGAGGATCAGGAAACCATGACAGATACTTCTAGAGTATGATGTTTTTATGATTGATTGTGTTTATTATCCCCCTGTTACCTTACCCTGTGTTCTCAGGAGTGAAGAAACAGGTTGGGAGTGATAGTGGAAAAGAAAAGAGGAAAAAAGTGTGGTGTAAAGGAAAAGTATAAGGGAAAAATAGGTAAAAAGAAAGGGATAGAAAGGAGGAAAGAGACAGAGGAATGAAAACCCCAGAAATCCGTTATGAGCATGCACTAGGTGATGGGCAATGGTGAGGAGGAAAGAAACCTCCATCAGTACCAGGCCATCTATCACAACCGGTTGGGGGTTGAGGGGGAGAGAGGGAAAAGGGTGAAGAAGGGAGGGAGAGGGTTGTGGAGGTAGGTGAGAAAGGCAGAGAGGGTAATGGAGGGAGAGAGGAGGGGTGAAAAAAGGAGATGGGGAAAAAGGTGGAGGAAGAGAAGGCAGCTTTTGTTCATGATTATGTGATGAAGCAGCAGAGGTCTTCTTCTGGAAAAACCTGAAGCACTTTTTTCTTCTTTTTCAGAAACTGTTCCTGGAGCTGTCAGGGGTTTTTTTTGCTTTTTTTTTTACTTAAACGATTGTTTCTGTGTTCAGCTCCTTGAATTTCTTGAACCTTTTGTCCAGTTCTTCAAATCTGGCTTTGTTTCAGTTCTTTGTATTTCTCCTCCTGAATTTTCTTTGCCTCATGCTTGTGTGTCTTCTTCTGTTATACTGTGCTGTGTTGTAACTCCTGATTTCTCTTCTACATTTCTTGAATCGTTCCTGTACTTTAAGCTAGAGTACTTGGAGCTGTTGTGTTTTTTCCCCACAATTTCTTGGATCCTACACTGCATCTCTGCATATTTTCCCAGTTCCTCCTTTTCTTCTTTCCTTTTATTTTCCTGGGCTCCATGGTTTTTTTCCATGACTTCATTATAAAAAAGTCTTTTTGTTCTCCAAGTATTGGAGAATAAGTTGGATCGCCCTCTGCATTTCTTCCTGTTGCTCTTTCTCTTTAAGCATTTTGGGATTCCTTGCCAGCGTGTCATCAAACATTACTTGCAGCGCTTGATGCTTTTTATCCACGTCTTGGAGCTTGCTCTGCATTTCTGTGCGCTGTGCAGTGCTTCGTCAAGTATTATTTGCAAGCCTTCATTATTTGCTCCGTGTCTTGAATCTTGAATTGCAGCTCTTTGTGCATTTCTTCAATGTTGTAGAGCTTGTAGTGGAGTTGTCTGTTTTTAATAATCTCCTGTTTCTTGTCTTTAAACACTTTTACATTTCTTTCCAGTGCCTGTTGAAATGAAAAGGCTTTCCAACTGTACAACATTGATTGCCAAGAAGCTTTGTTATCACAAAGAAATTATTGACCAAACAGAAATGTTCTTATTTTTTATGCCTAGTTATTCTTTTTCCCCTTTCGTTCTGTGTCATTTATCCTCCCCTATCACCTCCTATGTCATGTTTTAGTGTTTTTTATTCAGATCTTCAGGTGTTTTCTCATATGGATCTATTTTCTTAGTTTATTTTTGTTTATTCATTTATGGTTTTAAACTTTTGTCTCTTGCATTTTGAGACTTTTAGCTCTTATTGTGTTTGAGTTGTAGATACTCTGTGATTTGTGATAGTTTTCCCACTGATTTTTTTATACTGTATGGTTACTTCTGTGTTCATTTGTCATCCTCTCAGTTAGTTCCTTATTTACATAGCTGACTCTCTTCTTGGCCTTGTTCTTAGTTATATTTGTTTTCCTGTCTCATTATCTTGACCGTCTTTAGCAGATTACGTTTTATTAGTCATTATTTTGCCATAGTAATTAAGCCAGGGGTTGTTTTTATAATCTATCTGTGAACTTTGTACTGGCTACAAAATTGATGTTTCTAACTGTCAAATTTTCTGCTTTTTTTCCTTTTGTTCTTTATCTCGTTTAGGAAAAACAAGCAGTCCTGCTAATGTTCCATCAACTGAGCTTCTGGCTCTAACCCCACCAGGTGGTCCTCAATTCAACATCATGTTGCACCTCACCCTGCTGCTCCATCTCCTGGTCCTTTCATGCAGCTGTTCGGGTATGAAGCACATTAAACTCAAAGAAAATAGTTAGACAAACAACATCTGAGGTTAATTTGAATGACAGAAATCATACTTGACACTGGTGATATGCTGCATTTAGCTGAGCAGTTGCTCCCTGACAAGTTTCTTTTCAAACAGTAATGCAACATTCAAAAGGACTTTGCCATTTAGCTTTGCATTTACTCACATGCCCTTCAGCTTTCAAGTACTGCTGCGTAAAAACCTGGTTGTCGGGGATTCTTTTGGCAGTAGCAGTTTGTCAGTAAATAGTGTCTCATGCACACTTTGACAAGCGGTTCCAGCTACAAAGCGTAAAGGATAAAAATCATACAGGTGGCTGGCAGCACGAATAGTAGCACACTTGTCAAAACTGGATTGTCAGTGTGTCCATGAATGAAGAGCAAGAATGACAAAGTGTGAACGAGCTGCTAAATGCCAGCTCCAAAGGACATTATGAAAACTAACGATGCTGGCAGTCATGTGTGCTTCAAGAAATTTTTTTTATAAAAATGTAATTTTAATCAATCCAGTTAAGATGGATTTTGTTGTAATGCAGCAGAGAAATCTTAACAGGTTTAAGTAGTTACAGCGTAGCATAAATTCAAAGAATGGCAACAAGATGATAAAAAAAGATACGTAGGCTATATCTGATAGGCCAAAGCTGGCAGTCGTGTGCCTCTGAGGGCAGCATGTGGCTGTGCAATCTGCTGTGTTGGAAAGAAAGCAAAGTAGACAGAAAACAGCAGGCCTGAAAATGACCTGTCTAAAAAGGAAACAACCTTCTCTTTGTCTCTGTGTCCCTATACCACAGGCAGTTCTCGCTTGTTTGAAATTTGATTTCACATGAGCTAAAGAATCAGAGCATGTGGACTGTGACTCTCTGGGCTCTACACATCTTTCTCAAAATCATTTTACTATGATGATCGTAGCGTATGTGCATGTGTCCTATCTCCTCCTTAACATGTGAGTCAATCTGAATGGAATGTTGCACCAACATTATCACACATGCAGCGCTTATTAAAACTGGGGGTGCAACGATACACAAAATTCATGGTTCGGTTCGGTTCGATACTTTGGTGTCACGGTTCGATATTTTTTCGATACAAAAAAATGTTCATGCCTTTTTAATTTGGCATGAACATGCCAATTTGTCATTTATTAAAATTATAAATATATATTTTAACTCAAAAGTACAGTTTTTAAATTTAATGTTGCTGCAACAACAAGCCCCGCGCTTGGGGCTGGACAGCATCAACACGTTAACAAGCTAAGTGCGCTAACGCAGTAGTTCCCACCCATGTAATTGAGCATTGCGTGGCACATCCGACATACTGTTTTACTTTTGTCCATGACGCGCTTACCTTCAGGGTCATGCTTCACTTGAAAACCAAGATAGTTCCAAACGCCAGATCTGAATGAGGGTGGGGGAGGTTCAATTTCGGGTAGTGTTGAGGCAGTTGCCATGTTGCAACAAGCTTAGCTTCTGTCTTGCTAGCTTGCGCTGTGCTCAGTGGATCTGCACTCAACAGTGCAGCCTAGGCGGAGTAGTCAAACGCAGAACCACTGAACGCTTAACACAGACAGAATCGTCAGAAGAAAAGTTGATAAAATAAATAAAAAAATTTGTATTGTTCGATACATATGCGTACTGAACCAAAAGCAGTGTATCGAACGGTTCAATATTGATACAAGTATTGTTGCACCCCTATTATTGACGTCTATTTGCTTTAAAAAAAAAACAACTTCACATATGGATATAGGGCTGTTCGATATAACGATATATATCGGATGAAGATATAAAAATGTCTATCGTTTAATTTTACGCTATCGTTTGTTCCGTGGTGTCGCAAAATAAACGTTTACGGCAATATTTTTTTCATCATTTTGATGGTCACTGTAGTGGCTATATTAATTTCCTAAAGTTCTCTCTTTCTCTTATATTTAATATAACCACACTACGGACGGACAAGCGCCTGTTTTTATGCGTTGTCGTTAGCAACAAAGACGGTAAAACCACTGCGGGTCTGCTTGTTTATTTTCCACAAACCTTTCACAATAAAGCGCAAGATCCTGTTGAGACTTTTCAAAATAAACTGAATCACGTGAAAGAGTATGCAGAGTATCTACGGATGAGAAGCAAAAAATAGCCATCAGGTGCTAAAAAAATAAACCTTAGACTCAAACGTTAGAACAGGCTTTTCCCCACAGCACGTCGTGTAATAAATACTCACAAAGAAAACAGCGGCCTTTACAACTTATGTCTAAAAATATATCGTTTCATGCATCAGTTAAAACACTCGACTCCAGGTACACAACGCCCAGCTGGAAACAAGTCGAAGTTGAGCAAGTCGAGCTGCCCGAGATTCACAGAATTTACAGAAAATGTTAAAGTTTTGTGATTTATATAGTTATCGGACGATAGATGTCTTATATCGGGATATGAGATTTTGGTCATATCGCACAGCCCTATATAGATAACATACATTAAAATTCTTTGGATTTTTATATTCATCATATACCCTGGCTCATAGGAGAGCAGCAATGTAGCAGAGAATTACTGTAAACCCTGAAGCATTTCAGTGTGATCAGTAAAATCTTGAAGTCATTTATAAAGCCAGTGATGAGAGTCTAAAACAGGGGTATTATCTTGTCTTTTTGTTTTTGTTTTGACGCCATTAGCTGTATTTTGTACCAGCTGCATGCATCGTACATGATTAACTAAAGTTCAAATCCAGGTATAGTATGGCTGCTTCATCTAAGCAGACAACAGCCAACCAGAAGTCTCTGGTCTTTATTGTGGGTAGAGAACATTGGCTTGACATTTTAGTTTAGCCCCAACAAAGATTAATGTGACATTACTGCCATGACAGTTGGGCAAAAGTCAAGTACACACTAGCCTACAGCAGAAGTAAAGGCAGTGAGTGTGTGCGTGTCTGTGATTCTCTGGTTCAGTTGGCCCATAATAAGACTTACACTGACACAAAAAGTATAAATGAAGTCTAAATACAGAACTGTGTTGAACACTTACGATAAATGTTTTAGTATCTGGTTGGTAGGACTGCTTTCTTCCATTCGGTTGTACTTTGTATTTCATATTTACAGAGCCGAGATTGTACGCTGGCTTGACTTGACATTCTTTGTTAAATGTTCCAGGTGCGTCTGTCATTGGGGAGGTACCTGACTTTTATGGAGGTAAGTGTAATTATATGTCAAATATAATTACCAGCCTATATTGTGCTGGGATTCCCTTTAACAAAAACATTCATAAATGTCAGAGATCAAGTTTTGAGGTCACAGAAAAGGCCACAAGCTTATGTGTCATGTGTTATGTTTTCTGAATATCTTTTGACACTTGGCCATAAACATATTTCTTTTGCCAATGTGCCTTTGAATCTTTTTGAGCATTCTAGTAAATGGAGACGGGTTATCAAAAGCAGGAATGTACCAAAATTCAAAGGCTCGTTTCCATCTGATTTATATTTTCTAAACCAGAGACTGTCTGCTCTGGCAGGTCAATGGAGTTGTGGCCTTCTTGACAGCCTCTGTTTTTAGTCAAGGCTATGTTACTAGACTTTTTGAGAAGGGTTTTGATTTCTTTTTGCATTAAAAGAAAATAGCTCTAACTCTTTACTGGCATTTGCCAAGTTTTCTATTTGCTGTTCCTTCCTACAGAAATAAAAACACTTTGGTTCTTTAATGTGTTTATTCCTGCAAGACGTCAGGATGCCGACCTCTGCTTCACCAAATTTTACACAGCTGCAGATGCAGCTGACATAGTTCACGAGGACACGTTATTTTAAAAATTCTTCTGGTGAGCAGACACTTTTCACATAAAATACAACTGCCTTTAAGGGTTCAGCATAAAAACAATACAGTGTAACTATTATAAAGCATAGCTTTATTTATAATATAAATACAACTTCTTTTCATTGTTCTCCTTAATTACAGTAAACAGTTCTCAAGCTTTTGTGTTACGTTGATCAACTCATTATTGCAGATACTCTTAAAAGCCAAGAGAAGAAGTAAGTGTGCTACAAATGGGCTTTCACTGTTTTTTGTCCAACCCCTGCCAACTGAAGTGGTCAAACTACCAGAGAATTTCGCTTTCAGGATTCCCATTCAAGCAGTGACAGATGGCTCCCTTTCTCGTCCACAGTGGGATAGGGTTAATGAAAAAACCCAGACATAATGTTTTTTCCACTGTTTCTATTTCTGCATTTCTTCTTCTTTCAGATGTACATTAATTCTAATAGAGATGGTTTGGATCCAAGATGTTATGCATATGAACCTAGGCTGGTATTTAGAGCTAGGAACTGTATTTGAGCTGTCAGGCTTCACCGTGGTGCTATTTGGGGGTGATAGATGAGACAAAGAAGGGAAATAATGTGCATTTCGTCTTCATATATGTAGACGCACACATACACACACACACACACACACTGTAAATGTAAAAAAAAAGTCATATTTACATTTACATAATTGATTGAGACAGCCTACATATTTATATAGCTAGTTTACGAACCATTATACTTTATACTTACTGATAGTTTTGATTATTTGGTCTCTAAGGTAGGAGAGGCTGTAATTTCTGTTTTTTGACTTACTATTCGCCCAGTGTGCTTGTCTCTAGGAGAAAAATAAAGGTGAAGCAGGCTGTCGGCAAGGGATTAATTGGTAGAAGGAAGGCTTGCTGATTTGTTGCTTAGAAACATGTGATGCTGTTCGCAGGTTGAATTGTTGATGGCTCCAGTGAGCATCTTGTTTTTCTGTTGGTCACTTTTTGTTCTTGTTCTTGATGCTTTGCCATTGATTGTCTTTCCCCTTTTCTTGAAGTATTGACCTTTTTTTTCTTATGTGTCCTTGTGGAGTATCACCTCCTGAACAAGCTGACATTATTTCTTCATGTTTACAGAAATAACAGAACATGATGTAGTTTGGGCTCTGCTGGCTGTTTTTTGATGCCCACATCAGTTGTTTTTAAGGTCACTCGGCACTGAAAGAAATGTGAGAAACTGCTGCTTAGGCTTGGTGATTTTGAACTCTTTGTCAAACCTGGATAAGGATGAAGGTGTAGTCATCGGTGTCGATAGCAAGTTTCTTAAAGGTCAGAACATCGTGTAGACAGCCTTCCAGCTGGGACACGCTGCAGAAGCAGGTTTTTTTTTCATATAACTGAACTGCTTATTATTCAGCTCGTAGCAGTGTTTATCCCCATCATCCTGCTGTTAAAGCTAAAGTAGAGCTCACCTAATGCCTGCCTCTTTAGTACCAAGTGCTCACCCCTTGTCGGGCTGAACGATGGCTGTAAAAGTGTTAAAATCTTAATGCTGCCTTTTTAAATCACTTCTCAGCTGGACACACACATACAGAGCAAACTTTTACAGCTGCAGACTAATACGGAGGTTCCAGTCATCGAGCATTACACATCAATGCGTATAAAAGTGAAAATCTTTGGACTCAAGTTCAAAGATGTATATTATCTTCGATAGTTCTGCTCTATCAAACAATATATTCTTTCGAGTGCAGTTGTAACAGCACAGCTGGTAACAAATTAAACATACCCTGCATGACTGACCCTGGCCGTACCCTGGGCCAAACCTCTGTGAGTACTTTGGCCTGCAGTGAGGCAAGTTTTTTTTTAAAAACATACGATTTTAAAAAGTAGGTTTTTCACTCCAGGGAGAGTTTGGTTTACCACCCTCGCTCATGATGTGGCTCGGGGGTTTGTGGGCAATTATTTTATTGCATTGTGCTTTTAGTGCCAGAAGGATACAATATGTTATCTGTCCCACTTGGACACTCACTTGGTCATGCAAACAAGCCATACTACAGATGTTGCTGTAAAGCACGGTTGTGATCAAAGTTAAATTCATTAGAGAATTACCATCTTCGGGGATTTGGACTAATTATGTGATTACTGGGATACGACAGGAAAACTGCTTCAGAACATTGTTTTTTGCAGAATGGCAATGTGAGAAATGGCTGCAAATAAAATAAAGGCACTTAAAAGTGAAAAAACAAACAGATTTTGAATATATGTTTTATAATATTTCTAGCCAGCAAGTAATTGTGATTCAACTGAGATTATACCTAAAACCATAATGAATAATTGATGTCTCATTAGAAACCATTGCTATGAAAGATAACAGCCTCCTGAAATAACAAGCTTTGGTTTTTCAAATTCAAATGAGAGTCTAAGCTTACCTGCTGTTCGGCTGAATCAGACTGTCTGTGTCTGATAATGAAGCAGGTCCAGTGGAAGATCACTTCCAGCAGGCTCAGGAGACAGAGCGTTCCTGACTGTGTGTGTGCTTCTTCTCCTTTTGAACAGATGTGGCCTTTTCTTGAGACTTATTGTCCATGTTTCTTTCTTTCTTTGTGTGTTTTTGTGTGTAAGTAGGAGGTGGGAGCACTCAGTTGACAACTGGGTAAATAATTACTTGCCAGCTAAACGGGAAGGCTCAGTACATCCAAGGCGAAGTAGTGCCAAAACGAGAACAGAAAGGGTTTTATGCAGGGAAAGAAGAGAACCTGTGAGAGATACAGATTAGGAAAGAGAAGAATGAAATGGAGTGACTAGTGACAGTATCGTATTGTGTTTTGTTTTGAACTTCGCATATTAGACTCCTTTGAAATGAGGGCGCAAAGAGTTTAGGTGGGGAGCTGAGAAAAGACCTTTTTTTTGCACAACAGTGAACACAAAAGTATTAAGATGAACATACAGCACTTTAGAAAAAATGAATTGATTATTAAAGTTATTATGATGCATTATAATTGGCAAGACACATTTTAATAGCAGTACATCCCGTATTTGATTCAGAGCCACAAATCCCACCTGTGATAATGGTGTCAGTGTGCTTCATCCTCTAGAAATCCTTAGATTTTGTGCAAATGGTGCATATTTGGGTTATATAAAACTGTCAAGACATGTCACTAAGAAAAAAACCAAAACAGAACATGTACTGAATAAAGCAACCTTAACAACCAGAAAGCTCAGAGACCCAAGTAGTTGTGGAAGTAAATCAAAGAAAAGGGGAGCAAACCGTGACAGCAGGATTTAGATTGGAAAGGTGGTGGAGGGACAGAGGCAATCCAGGGAGAGCTTGAGACAGAGAAAATGAAACGAGGCAGGGAGAATGTAAGAGGCCCGTGTGTGTCTCCAGGCTGTGGGTCTTGTGCGGCCTGTTTAACAGCCCCCTTCCACCATCTGCCACGTCCCCCATTACAGGAAAAGCATAGGAACGGCACCAGTGCTCATGTCTGAGTTACACTTCAGCTGCTATTTCAGCACTGCAGTGCAGCCTCAGTGACTCCCTTCCAACCTCCACAGTCTCGCATTTGCAGTATTTTTTCATGACACCGACGCAGCACAGCCTAAGCCTAGCAGTAGAAAAGGGTCAGTAGATTCCCTTTACTCTACTGAATCTTATGTTTCTTTCATGTTTTCTGTTTCTTTCATTTCTTTTTTCACCTCTCTTGTTCCCAGAACATAGATCCTCACTTAATTTGCCTTCCATCAGCCCCACAATGGCCCATTTATTATATGTGTAATTTCTCTCTCAGTGGTAATTCAGAGTCCTTGGGATTTACATCAATGTCAAGTACTTGCACATGGTTGGCTGCTATAGTGTGAGTGGGAGATGATCCTGTCTCCTAATGTCTTAATTGTTGCCTTCTGGTTGGCTGCGGAGGGTATAGCTAACTTGCAAATGTGGTTATAATTCTGCCTTCCTGCTTTTTTTCTGTTCGTGACAGTCGAGGCAGAAGAATATGCATCTAATTTACTGGTTAAACTGCATGATCCGTTTTGGATATTCCTTGAAAATAGCCAGCAATCACATATTTGACTGCTGGAATGTGTACAGCTCTCGTTCTATTTTGTTGTCACGCTACACAAATATACCCGACTGCTTTTGTGATGTAAATTACGGATAGAAGGATCCTATAAATATAATGGTCCTTTGTTTGGGTTTCTAAAGGTCGCAGAGTCTGTCGATGTGACATTTTCAGAGTGAGCGAATCTGTAAGTACTGCCCTGGATCGAAGAGGCGCAGGATATCGCCGTCTGAAAGAGCCGGCCTCTCCCCATTGAGGTGTCAGCTGTGCTCTCTTAGAACTCAGAGACGCGAGGGAATAACACACATGTGCGCGCCCGCACATTTGTATTGCCGCAGTCACCTACACACGCTCTTGATCTGAGAGAATAATCAGCATTTGGGAACATTTCGCCTCATTGCTTATTCATAGCCTGGCATTGTGTTTATGTCTTATTCATGCCTTTGCTCGTGATGTCTGTCTGTTTTAATGAGTAATTGGGGCTAATTACGTGTGCCTGACGATGCTTTAAAAGGAAGCTTGAACCAAGAAACGCGTTTTCATCGAGGAGAGCGCTGAATCTGAAATTTCCTGTGCTGCGCTTCTCCGCAGCGCCGAGGATGACGCATGCGGTATGAAGCAGGTTTGGATTATGCTAAGTAAAGTTGGCATTTCCACTTGGAGGATTTGTATTAGTGTGGAACAATAACATATCCACTGGCAACTGATAAATACGTCACTCTGGTTTGGCACCTGACTGAGCACATCTCTGCCGTAATTAGTGTGAGTTTGTGGTTTGGAATAAAGCAGAGGCTTATTACCCTGTGTCGACGCCTGAAAGAGAGTTTGTGCGGACTCAAGAATTAGATTAGTTACAGCTACAACTGGGATTTATCTAAACCCGGCGTCTAAGCTAGAGGTGTGCATGTCTGTGAAAAACGCAAATCAGGCTGACATATTAAATGGCAGGTCCTCACAGAGGCAATCTCACAATCTAGTCAGCATGTTGTTTTTGTTGTTGTTGTTTATTTGTATGTTTTCTTGTGTTATTTCTGAACCCAGTTCTCTTGTTTTTGATTAAACTGCCCCACAGCTGACAAATGTGATGCTCTTGAAACTTGATTTCACTTCTCTGTAAGACTGCTCTTAGTTATTAACCCTTGGTCTTGTTTGTTTGTTGCCTGCAGATGAAGTCACAGGTTACGGACCAGTGTTTGAGGAGCAGCCGGTGGATACCATCTACCCTGAGGAGTCACCCGAGGCCAAAATTACCATGAACTGCCGGGCTAGAGCCAATCCACCTGCCACATACAAGTAACATATGCTCCGCATATACACTACACGCTGTGCATGTTATGTGCCTCTCACCTCTCACAATCCCTCAGACTGTTTTCGGACCTGCTGTCAAACTGCGTGCTCACAAAGATGTTACCTTAATGGTGATGGAACTCCAAGTGTGTTGTGTGTGGCACTATTTATTTTATTTGCAGCACATATTTATATTTTCTCTTTGTGGTTATAATCAGGTAAACTCCAAGAAGGAGACACAGAGGAAAATCCTAATAACAAATAAAATTCTGAAGCAGATTTAGCAAAAATAACTCTTTTTTTTTTTTTTCATTTAATTTTTTTGGACTCAAAATTTAAAGTGTTTTAGATCATCTGTTTCAATTTAGTCGCAAATACATGTAAATTAGATTGCTCTGCATCCCTTAAATCGGTTTCACTGTCAAGGAGCCCGGAATTAGATGTCAGAGGGGAAGGAATTAGCTTTGACCGCAGCTGGCATTGAGTGTTTAAGAGGGTTCATTTATAGTACACTCTGTTCTGCCTTTCAAAGCATTAAAATTTGTCATTTTTTAATAGAGAAGCCCTCAGTTTATGAAATCTGGTAAACTTACGGTAAAAGATCAGCTTTAGTGCAGTCACTTGTCAGACTTTGTAATGTATGTCAGTGCTTCAGATAAGTTATCTGCTCGTGTTACTCGATGTAAAATCAACTAGAAAAAACAAGAAAAAGAACGCGACTCTGACTCCTTTCAAACAGGGCGGCTGTGCTAACCCTGATCGTTTGTGTTGCAGGTGGAAGCTGGACGGCATGGAAATTGACTTGGATGCAGGGGGTAGTCACTACAGTTTAGTAGGAGGAAACTTGGTCATCAGCAAGCCTGATAAGACTGAACATGTGGGTCAATACTCCTGTTTGGCTACCAACACATATGGCACGGTCGTAAGCAGAGAGGCCTCTGTCCAGTTTGGATGTAAGCTTTCCATTTACAGTCTGATGTGTAAAGCATCTCCTATTTTTAACAGCGCTGCTTTGCTGTACTTTCATGAATATTATGCAAACTGAAATGACAAGGACAACTGGGACAAATCAAATTCAGTATGACAAATATAATTTGTGAAATGCTAATGCGCTCAGAGATCACAACTCATTTCCAAAAGAATCGTTGATCTTTATACAAAACTTACACCGTAAGTGTCGTTTTGCAGAGATCTTTAAAACATGTGATGACGGGATGTGATTATTTTCTCTCCCCTTCTCAGATCTCGATCTTTTCTCATCGGAGGAGAGGTCGTCAGTGTATGTCAAAGAGGGACAGGGGGCCGTGTTGCTCTGCGCTCCCCCACCGCATTATCCAGGTACAACATGTGAAGCCTTAGCCTGCTGTTGCTGGATGTTCCTAAAAAGAATGAGCCCTAATATTTTGCAGCATTAACATCTAGTTAATTACAGAAGACCGTAAACAATATAGACTAGAACATAATCCCTTCACAAAAACCCGAAAGAAATCTGAACCCACAAAACTCTGGGACCAAGACAAGTCGTATGGACTTGCTTGCATTGCTTTAAGTTTTACTCTGGTCCTTGACACAGCGACTCTGTCATGTTAAATAATTGTGACCATTCATGCACATATCCTCACTGCTGTTTTCATGAACTTGGTGAACTGAAATGAATTAATCAGATATTTTGTACACTGTTGTTAAGGACATGGTTAGCTTCTTAGCTATTAAGATAAAGAGATTGTTGTCTTCACAAGCTTACCAGATCATTCAGAGTGCCCTTGCTTCACATCCAGCCTCCTTCACTGTTTCAAAAGCAGTGGGTAAGCCCAGACTCTTGACTGACAGGTGCCTTTTGCTGTTCCTCTTTCTGTTCAGCCGAGCTGTCATTCCGCTGGATCCTCAATGAATTCCCGACCTTCATCATACCGGACAAGCGACGTTTTGTCTCCCAGATAACAGGCAACCTCTATATCTCTAAGGTGGACTCCTCGGACAGAGGAAATTACTCCTGCATCGCCTCAAGCCCGTCTATTTCCAAGAGTGTCTTCTCCAACTACATCCCCCTCGAGCCTCAGACTGAACGTTAGTACCCCGGTTTCTACTTCTTGTTGTCTATTTGTTGTTGCTTTTGACTCTGATTGTTGCTAAAGTAGTAGTAACAGACTTTTGGGTTCTGCAGCTTAACAGAAAGCACAAATAGAAAATGGAATACAAAATTATAAAAAAGGTTCCAAGAATTCAAGCGTAAAATACTGTGTTTAATACCAATTTATGCTTGCAATGCACAGCAATTATGTCAGTAAAACGGAGGGATTCAACAGGGATTAAATATGTGTCTACTATAAATGCCACACTTCCTCAGATGTGGTTTCCTGTATTAATTCTCACATTCTTTTGCCAGTGAGGTGTGATTATAGGGCAGGACCTCAAGTGTTAAGAGATGCTTGAAGACAGGAAGTGACTAAAATGCTGCATCGGCTGCAATTCTTTCCTCCTGTCCCTACTGTAGCACTGTGTTTAATGACAGCGTTGCTTGCTCTAAATGCATTAAGGTCATGTCCCTGGTATTGACTTTTTAAATTAAATTTACAGAACTAAATGAACTCAGTAGTAGACAGACACATGATGCTTGTTTTGAGACAGAGCCAGCTGGCTACAGAGGACAAGAGGAAACATAAACTGTGCCAAAACGAAGGACAGAAACTAAAGAGATGTATTTGCTCTTATTTATTTAGGCCGTATGTTTCTGAACAGCTTGAAGTAATGGGTTCAAAAACCAAACTAAGCAATGTTAACATTTTTCCTTAAGGGGTTTCCAAGAATCCATTAGACGTTTACTTTCATCGCTGTCAAACTCTGAGCTAGTTTTACTTGTGGCAAGCATGTGTTGAATAGTAGAACACAAGCTAGAAGGATTTGTTCCATCAAAGGGGCCGGGGACAGAGCTGAGCAGTTGTTTGGGCTCTCTCAGGCATACATGTATTATGCCGTGTCCTCTGGGTATGATGTTACATTATGTACCTCTATCTAATTTTTATGTGTGTGTGTGTGTGTGTGTGTGTGTGTGTGTGTGTGTGTGTGTGTGTATTTGTCCAGGTTTTATAAATGTGTATACAGAATTTTATACATTCTGTTAATGTGTTTAAGCATGTAAACATGAGTCATGCTTAGGGCTCTAAATAAAGCTTTTATTACATTCTATAGGCATTTCTTTCACTTTAATGCTCTGAGTATATGATTTCACTGTGTCCCATGTGTGTTCATCAGCAACGGCATTGTTGTTGCTTATATCTTGTGTTTTAACCACCTGATTACTGATTGCTATAGAACAGTGGTTAAACTTAAAGTAACTCAGTTGATAAAGAAACAGCAGAGTGGATGAGACATTCAGAAATCCAGGGCCCTGGATCTAGTCCTGGACCAGAGTTTTTAAACTGCAAATTACAAGTAAGGATACCGAGTAGGTACAGATTAATACTTCTTTGTAAGATTAAAAAAAATGACAAAATTACATTCACGGAAACAAATAACCTAATCACACACACAGTATGGGATATAAGAGTTCCATATATACGCATTATGGTGAATCTGGTGTGAGATTTTCAAAGAAAACCTTGAGAACAAACACAAAATTATTTTAAAGTATTTGTTTTGTTAGCATCTATAAACTGGGTTAAGAATCAGAACACATCATAACTTGTTGCTCTTCCACTCAGGTCCTATCAGGAAATACCCGGCTGACCTAAGAGTCAAGTTCCCTGACACCACTGCTTTGGTGGGGCAGAATGTCACCCTGGAGTGCTTTGCTTTGGGGAAGTAAGTAAGAGAGAATATGGGTAAACAAAAAAATGCTAGATTGTAGAATTTCACACTAGCCAGCTATGTAGAGGTAATCCGCAATAAAAACGACTCTTAGAGGAAAGTTTAAGTGAATATGAACTCAGTTTCAGAGGCTGTTCTGCTCCGTTTACAATGAAATCAGATCCAAACATATCATTCTGTGAGCTCTCAAAGTTCTACAGCTGCTGACAAATGCTCATGAAGTCACATGATTTACAACCCATGTTTCAGAATGATAAGTATAGTGGAGCATGCAACAAGCGTTACAACTTATGCCTGCTCGTGCATTATTTTCCCCTGTGTGCCCTTTTCAGTCCTGTCCCTGAGATCCGCTGGAAGAAGATAGACGGACATCTGCCGTCAAACCACGAGGTGCGTATGACGGGGACTCAACTGCATCTGTACAACGTGCAATTTGAAGATGGTGGCACCTATAAGTGTGAGGCGATAAACTCGAAAGGAAAGGACTACCACACCGCTCGCGTGTCTGTGGAAGGTAATTTGAAATTTTCTTGTCTTAACTTATACTGTAGTTTTCCAAAGTCTTTATCAGTTGTATTAAATCTCTCCTAGGTGTGCTTTATGGGATAAACTCGTCAGCACTGCTATTATTAGCACTATCACCAGACAGGGTAAATTTTAAGATTTTTCTCAAACCCCTTATCTAAATGTTCTCACTTGCAGCTTTTCCAGAGTGGGTGGAGCACATCCGTAGCACTGAAATAGACCTCAGGAGCGACTACACCATGTCCTGCAAAGCCAGTGGCAAGCCTAATCCACACATCCGCTGGCTGAAAAACGGAGAACCGGTATTATTCAGACTCATAGATTGTTATTGTCTTGTAACTGTGAATGCAAATGAGCTATGACTCTAAAATGCTCAGAGCCCTCTCGGTGGCTGTCTAGATCTCGTCTCTGTTCGGTATGCAGCCAAGGGTTGTTACAGGAGCACAGCAGAGACAGGAAGCTGGCACTGTGGGTAGACATGGTGTCAGGAGAGTTCAATAAAAAGCACCTTTTGTTTTTGAGCAGGTGCCAGCATGTGTTGTGTAATGCTCCATAGAAGCAACTGTCATCAGGCTCGAAAATGCTCTAGAGAGCAGCCAGTGACAGAAACGTGGGGGAGGTTGCTGGATGTATCATTATGCATTAATGAAATCCTCTGCCAGGCAGATGAACTGCAGTAGCCATCATGTCAGCCATCATCACTTTAATTATGGCCATTTGCTTTGTAACAGAACTCAAACATTATGGGAAAAGATGCTTTATTTTGTTTTACTTTGCACTCCACAGGTTGACAGGAAAGAGATGAGATTCAGCAGCTTGACATTTGATGATTCAGGGATGTACCAGTGCATAGCAGAAAATCGTCACGGAGTCATTTATGCCAACGCAGAGTTGCGTGTCTTTGGTGAGTCAAACAACTATCACAACACCCACGGCTGTGTCACGTTTCACGCTAACTAATAGATGCTTATTATGACATGGTGACTGTGCTTAGCCAGAATATATATATATATATATATACTATACAAAAAACCAAATATATATATATATATATATTTTTATTTTTTTTAAATCAGCATTTACTGTACATATCTGAAAAACAAATACTGAAAACGTCTGTACAATATGTTAACTCACTCCACTGAATGTTTTAGGGTAGTGTCATGAGAGCGTGCGTTCCCGTGTTTAATCTGTGCTCTACCATGTTTGAGATGAATAACCGACACTGTCACTCCTCAGACTGTGCTCCCACATTTGAACACAACCCAGTGAAAAGAGTGCTGGCAGCCAAAAATGGCCGGGTGGTGATTGAGTGTCGACCCAGAGCGGCCCCAAAGCCCGCCTTCTCCTGGAGCAAAGACACTGAGCTGCTTTCCAACTCTACCAGGTGAACAGTCTCTTTCTGTTTGCCTCGAATCTGTGAATATTTTATACATTTGTATTCATTCTCAAAGGCTGGTTTACCAGAGAGTTCCTTTGTTGTTTTAATTCCAATATTCATCAACCATAAACTGTTTTCAGTGACTGCCTGACACATCCGGGTTACATTTAATCATGGGGAAGTATTTGGGAATAAAATGTCATTTGGTGCTGACTTAGTTGTGAATAATGTACACTGGCTTGATTTTGGGGATCTAAATAATCTCTAGATCTTCTAAACCGACTAAATACTGTCCACAGAAAAATTCTTTAGTCTTGTTGTTTGTCAGCTTTGCCATCACCAGTGGCTAACATTAAGCTCATTCTCAAGATTAGTGTGGCCGGCCTGGTGTGTAAAACCCTGTGTTGTGCTCCTCACTGGCAAAACAAGCCTAATCTGTAAGCTCTGAGACCCCCAACAACTTTTCTCCCACCCTAAATACCTCAGAGTGGGACTCACTTGAAGGAGGAGCAGCAGGGAAGTTATTGTGGAACATATGCATCCTAATACTCTGGGTGGGGGCAGAGTGGCAATGTGGCAGCTGGCAGGCTGTCTCTCATGCACTTATATGGAAAAAAAATGAATCAAACACTGCTGCCTTGCTGTTAGTACAAGCTTCCAAAAGTTCTCCTCCTTTCTTTTTCCCTTGGCAAACTCAATATCCATTAAGGAACTGACACATATTCTGAGTGCTTTCATATTTTTTTAATAGTCCACATATCCCTGGACTACACACTGGGCTACTGACCTTCATATTGTGCTAATAATTTTACACTGCATAAGGCTTTCTCCTGAGTGTGTGAACTATTACTTCTGGTTTCTCCACAGGGTGTTCATCTGGGAGGATGGAAGCCTGGAGATCCTCAATGTGACACGAGCAGATGAAGGCAGATACACCTGCTTTGCAGAGAATGACCGGGGCAAGGCCAATAGCACCGGCGACCTGTTGGTTATGGGCAAGTTCCAGCTGAAGAACAATGTTTAATGCTTCTCTTTGTATCCCTGATGTTTCCAGGACAGCTGTGACTTGCTTTGACTGATGTCAACCTTAGCTGGCAATCATTCCTGCCACTCTCAGTCCCACCAAGCAGTAGCGACCTCCAAATCTCTGCTATCGTTGAGTTATGGCCCTCTTTGCAGGCTGATAGCAAGCTTTCGTGGGACATTCAGTCGTTACCCAAGGGCAATGACACGAGGTTGCTGCTTTAGATTCAGCTTAGCCCCCACACGTTTCAGTGAAAAAGAAGAAGAATAAACTGGGATTGTCTGATAGAATTAAGAAAAAAAAATCCCCAGAGACTGATATGAGCTTTGTTTTCCTTGTTGTTTGTTTTCTTTAGATATGCAGTCAGAGCTGTCAAGCTTTTTATTCTGTGTTTTTACACTTAGCTCAGTTGGTATGGATGTGCAGCTCTTTTCTGCCCTCTTCTGGCTATTTTTGATATTTCAGAGTTCTCGCCTTTTTTTTTACACCCCAATCAAATACTCTACAGTTGATCATCTTTGAACTGTTTAAGTCTATTTTTTTATATAAGGAATCTGCTCTTTCTTTGATTTTCATTTAATCAAATTACCCATGAGTTAAATAACTGACTCTTTTTTGTAATCCCTGAGACCTGTTTATCTTCCTGTTTTTCCTCACAGACTCTACGAAGATCACCTTGGCACCATCTAATACTGACGTTAAAGTGGGAGAGAATACCTCGATGCAGTGCGCAGCATCACACGATCAGTCTCTAGATATCACCTTCATCTGGTCCCTAGATGGCCGAGTCATTGACCTGCACATAGACAGCCAACATTACGAACGCACCACAGTGAGACATCATGTTGTTCCATTTATTGTTTTTGAATAACCCAGGTTTGGCCACAATTGAAAACTGAAAAAAATCCCCTTGACCTAGAGTTCACGCACATCCTAAGCATATCTGAGGTCAGGTTGATGCAATACGTGGAATACCTGGTATGGAAAAGTACAGTCGGATATAAATGGACATGACTCTAAAATTCATTTCACATACCTTCCTAGGCGGGAATAGCGCACAGTATATCCGTTTAATGGCAATTTCTGCTAACATCTGTTACTGTTGACATGACCCACTCTCTCCCGCTCGCTCTCTCTGCCTCTTAAAGGCACTAACCATAAGCTAGTGGTTAGCTTTTCTCATTTGTCACTCCGCCTGCTAGGCAAACACTATTATGACTGTGATTGATGACATCCTGATTTTTGCATGCAGGGATGATTTTCCCCTCGTAAAAACAGGGTTCAGTTCCATTTGATACTGTTTGTGTGGCATTAGCAAGACTGCTAGTTTGATGTATTTTTAAAGTTGAATCTCATATTCAGTCAGAACGTTGTGTGCTGAGCTCGACATTTGTGAATGCGAAAAGAGGCTTTGTTTAACTCCCTGCCCAATTCACCTCGATTGCTTCAGTTACTAGACTGATACTAATGTGCCATTTTTCTATATTTTATGATGTTTGTCAGGCTGATGCATAGTGTATACTTCTTCTAAACTTAAGCATGGTCTCTTGTGTTGTTTTGATCAGAATGGAAGCTCGAATGGCGAGCTGCTCATCAAGAATGTTCAGCTGAAACATGCGGGACAGTACACCTGCACCGCACAGACCCCTGTGGACAATATCACTGCTTCTGCCCACCTGGTTGTCAGGGGTGAGTCAAGAGTCATGTATGTAAAATGTCTCAAAGCATTCAGCTAACTAAACAAACACACAATGTATAGTATCTATGAAAGACAGATTTGTTTTGTTATTTCACATGATATTTATGTAATTTTTCTGCACAATTCTCACAGTCTTAGTGTGTGTGGGCCTCCGTTGGCAAACAGTCACATACTCCCATGCACTAATCAGGATTAAGTTACATTACAACATGTTACCTAAAGTCAAATGGCAGCTGGTGCATTTTTACGCACTGTCAATCACGTCTGACAAAATAAGCCTGCAGGGCCCTGTCGAAAAAGATTAGCTCATGTTTTTGAGTCTTAAACTCCTATGTTTAATGGTTGTTGCTCATTTATGTATGTTTAATATTACAGGAAAAATTAGCATCCAAATATTTTGCTGCCTTGATCATGCAGACATTGTCAAACTAAAGCAGAAGCTTAAATGACAAAAAACCACACAATTCAAGCAAAAGTAGAAAAAAACCCTGGTTCCTTCTGCTAAATTTCAATGTTCCCAGGCTCTTGTTGTTAGACCTTTAACATGCAGGTAAAAAGTGCACATACGTTAAAAGAACGAGGCTCAAAGACAGTACAAGTACTGCATTTTGTGCAGCGCATGTTTAAAGAGAAGTAAATCTCTCCCGAGCAACCAGACCGTAGAACTTTTTTTGCCAGATAATCTGTCAAACCCAAGACTGCATGCTAACAAAAGTGAGGGAGAAAATGTTTGAAAAAGCCGATGAAGGAAATGCCTTGTGTCCTCAAGCATAAGACAGAACACTTAAGCATCTACTGGTTCCACCCTGAAAAGGTCAGACTAACTTAGTCAGATACCAAGTGGCATTAGCATTTCTGCTGTGGGACAAGTATAAATGCTGGTGGCTTGCCTCAAGATGGCATTGCTTGGCTGCACGGTGGCACACTGCTGGTCATATTTATCCGAAACAAATTGCTATGTCCACCCAGTCCCAAGTAAGATGAATTGTTTTATAGGAAAGTTTGTGCTTGTTACTATGGTTGCACAGACAAAGTAAAAATTTGACCTAAAAAGCAATGTTTTTAGTACAGTGCCAGCTCTGACCTGTTTATATTCCAAGCGTAATGCCTCGGGATGAGTATATAATGAATCAGTGATTTCAATCTCTCAGCACGGTATTTCAATGAGGACAGCTGCTGATTTCTAAACTTGCTCTTCCAACCTCATATAGATGTAAACATACACAAAGCAAACACTGTCACTTTTTCGGAGGTCTCTGTGTCTTCTTTACTGTATTTCAGATTGTGGATGATTCATCGCACTTTGTTTTCACCTTCTTCTTCTTCTTGATGACTGAGAACTTGTCTTGCAGTGCTTTCCTCAGCGCTTGAAACAGGCTCCAGTGCTGGAGGACAAAGGATCTTTTTAGATAGGAATTCTAGCAGTGAATTGCTTGCCAGTGATCCCTGGTGTGTCTTGGGTGTGCTGCTGCTGCTGTTGCTTTCAGAGCAGGTGTTGACAGATGGCCAGGTGAACGCACAGCGGCTGACTGTGACGTTTCCCAGAGTGTAACCAAAGCACAGGTCCGGGGCTGCTCCTAATGGAGTGCCAAATGCCAGCAGCCTGGGGCGCAACGAGGGAGAGATGAAAGACAGCCATTTATCATGGCAGATGAGGAAGCAGATCTGCTTGAGGAGAGTGTCCAAGCTCAAAACACAGCTCTGCACCTGTAGCCTGTTATTAGCAGGGATTAAAGATAGGCTGCGGAGCTGTTTTCATGTGAATGTATGCGTGCGTGTAAACAGAGTAATGTTAGGAGTCTTGGAGCAATGTTGAAGTGTTGCTGTGAACGAGGAAAACTATTTACAGACTTTGTTAAACTCTGGATTGTACTCAAGGACTCCTCCATATGGGCTCCAAACTGTAAAAAGCTAAAGTGCAGTGTTTTATTCCTTACATTAGATTGTAACAACTAAGCCTTCTCTCCTGACTCTTGGAGGCGAGGGTAAGCTTAAGGCCTGTCCGGCTTTTGGCTCTCTAATCGCCTTAGTTCTCTCGGCTCACATTCATGATTTGGAAAAAAGTAAATTCTGGCTGATTTCTGATGCTGTGGGTTGGGAGTCTAACCCTGACACAGTCTGGGTTTTCTATTAAGCCATTTTTTTAAGTTCCAAAGGAAGAATCAAGAGGAGCATTAGGACCAAGAGAAACACTGGATTGTAGAGCTTTTGCTTAAGCTTTAGTTCATGTATGTCAATGGGCTTCTAAGCTCTAATGCCTTAATCCATCAGTCTTTGCTGATGTCTTTTAAATAAAACTCTTAAAAAAAGGGAAATGTAAGGGCTTTGATGTGCAGTATTTCACATGCACCTAACATTAGACATCTTGAAAGTTTGTAAAGTTTTTAAACAGCTCAGGGTCTAAACTGAGTTTCTTTCCAGTTTGCATGTAGGAGACTTATTGACCGCTTGAGGAAAAAGTCAAAGTGAGCATTTGTAGGGATTCCTGCAGCCACATTCATGTTTGCCTCCCTTCTAAAAATAATTTAAGCCTTCTTGTTATTCTTCTCTTTGCCCAGGTCCTCCTGGTGCTCCAGGTGGGGTGCGAATAATAGAAAAAACAGACAAAAGTGTAACGTTGCAGTGGAGCCGTGGTGCAGACAACCACAGTCCGATCTCCAAATATATCATCCAGTACAAGGACCAGTTCTCAAACGATGTCTGGAAGAATGCCACTACATGTAAGAGCTCGAGCGTGCTTGTTGGTAAAATAAACACTGCTACCGTAATGCTGAGCTGGATCTGGTGTTGTAATATTTGTGGTCATGCCACACAATGATACTATAGGCCTACAAGGTGGTTAATGTCTCTTACAGATGGCTTAAATATACTTTAGTTATGCTTCGGTGAATTAAAACATAGGATGGGTTCCCAAAATAGAACTGCACGTTTGTTTTAAGGATACAACCGGCATATAATATTCAACCGTAGAGAGCAATAGCACTAAAATGAACTTGTCTTTCTATAGTTCCCGTTAATGTAGAGGGGAACGCAGAGATGACCACAGTGGTGGACTTGATTCCCTGGACAGACTATGAGTTCAGGGTCATTGCTACTAACACTCTGGGAACAGGAGACCCAAGCAACCCATCGCCTATTGTTAAAACGCTGGAAGCAGGTAAGATTGTTTTTTGACTTTGGACATCTAAATATAACAAGGAATAAAGAATCGGAGCAACTTAATAGGTCAAGAAGTGGAAGGGAAAAAAAGAGATGTGGTACTACAGTCCAGCTTTCCGTTCTGTTATTTATTCATCATCATTCTATTATTGCACTGTTTACTTACGTTAAGTATCACTGGAGAAATGAGTCAGCATAAATCCCATCATGCCGCGCTTTCTAGTGCAGAAAACTCACCACACAAACCTCCACAAATGAGCACTTTGGTGAAACTGTATACTGAAATTCAATTATAAAATGGGAATCACAGACTTACAGTAACCTCTCTTGAAAAAATAATCACAAGTTGAAAGTGAGCTACTAGACTCAAGGCAAACAGAAGAACTTGTCCCTCTCTCTGGCTCCCTGAATGGCAACGTTCCCACGTGGACATTTAGGTGTTGCGTTTGGCACAGGAGAAGTCACTGATACCGCATTTGAAGAGGAAGGATGTTAGAGCAACATTGGCAGGGCTAGGTTACAGCCTGTGTGGTTTGGCTTTGTTTGCGTGGATTCATAGCAATGTGGGCTCAGAGTTTTGCTGTTGCCGTCTCATTGTAGTTCCTGTGGTGGCGCCCTCAGATGTTGGCGGGGGTGGAGGGGCTAGCAGAGAACTGACCATCACATGGACGGTAGGTTGGGACTTTCCACTGGGTAAAGTGGGAAGATGGGTTACATGTTTATATATGAAAACTTGCTAAAAGATGTTTAGTTTTTAGTTCAATTTGTAATAGTCACACTGACATTTAGATTTACATTTAAAAGTGAGTGGGAAGCCATGTGGTCAGTGTTTCAGAAATCCAACAAATTATTAAAATGAGTTTGAAAAAGGGCACAGAAAGACCAGATAATGCAGATGTCTGCTCAGGATTTCAGTTATTCAGGTCCTCGTAGTCTTAAATGCTTCAGCTGAATCTTTTTTAGGCTCTTAAAGATGTGTCACTTCTTCAAATTAAGCCCAATAAAAGATCCAAAGATTTTATTGTGTTGTTTATTATTCACCACATGTGCAGCACATACAGGAGAGCTTATTGTTTCTTTCTCACTGTAGTATAAAAGAAGAAATGAGAAAAGATAAAAGGACACTCCAGGGCATCTATAAAAAGCAGCAGTAGTGCAAATACAGTAACAGAGATGTACGTGGATATATAATATAGATATAAATATATAACTACAGCAACTTCTGAGATGTACATGGACAGTAGTGCAAATTTGAAAAAAGGCCAATTACACTTAAGATAAGTAATGCAGAATTTTTAAACTGGTAATTAATAAAGCACAATGATAGGTTTTCAATTGCTTTGTTAATCAAAACAACGAGCGTACCACAGATCATGCAGTAGAGAAGACGGGAATGATAAAACGATCGCTATCGTGAACAAAAAAACAACTCAGCGACTGAACTAATTCATGGTGTGTTGCTTCTCTGCTGCAGCCGTTTATAAATTAGCTATGGCTAAATTGTATTTTTCTTGGCTGCAGCATGACCGTTCAATTCCAGAGCAGCTGGAGGACGAGATGATATGTTTATCTTGCAGTGCATGTGCGATGACAAAGACACGGTGTTCACAAAGGAAATGAGGTGTGATGATAGAGAAGGATGAGCCAATTGTGTCGTTGCTGTATATAAAACAGGTGCCTTACACAGTGCAGTCACTGCATTAAATTCTATTTAAATATCATCTGATTTGTGAAATTTGATTTTTTTTTAAGTTAGGCTATTTTTTACTTTGCTATAAAAGCTGGTCAAGAGTGACATGTGTTAAATAAAACATTTGCCAAATGCCATTTCTCAATTTATTATTCATTTTGTCAACAGCCTGTGAAGCCAGAGTACTACTATGGGCCTAATTTTGGCTACATTGTGGCCTTCAAGCCCCAAGATGAGCAAGAGTGGAAACGGGTGGCAGTAGCCGATCCCCAGGCCAGGCGCTACGTCCACAAAGCCTCTGACATCCCACCTTTGACAGAGTTTCAAGTCAAAGTCAAAGCGTTTAACGTCCAGGGAGAAGGACCCTACAGCCTAACAGCCATCATCTATTCTGCACAAGACGGTGAGCGGTTAAGAGATTCAGCCCTCTCATCTGTAACAGGGAAAAATGCGCTAAAGTGATCTCAAAACAGCATCGCAGATCAACCTGGTTCTGTTTTATTAGTGTCAGAGAATGAGGGATTGCTCAGTCCTGCTAGTCAGTGCGCCACTGTGAAGTAGGATCCTTTTAATATTAGCTCTCATGTATAATAATGAGAAATATTAATACCCCTTGAAAGTGAACCCATCGTCCCCCCTTCTCTTCTCGGGTTGTTGGGGGATTATTATGATCTACGTAGCATGAACCAGAAAGCTGATAACTCACCCAAAGATGCAAAGCATTTAGCAAGTTATTAGCTTCCACTGACAAGCAGTTGAGATAACCACTAGAAACTCAAGCATGATGGGTGACAGAGATGCTCCTGCTGCCATGGTAACACAATCAGGAAACGGTTGCCTGGTGGGGGTGTATGATTTTTACGGTTATGCCTTCAAAGTGAGCCGTCGCCGGGCAAATCTGTGACCATAGTTGCGTGCAGGCTGGTTGCGCATGCATACAAACCATCTTCCTCAGAGTTTGCCTCTGTTTACAACGTGGCGACAGCATGGCAGTTTAGCATTTTAGGACAGTTTCCTGGCAAGAAAAGACTACACACAGGGTTTAAATGTTCCATAAGTCATGGAATAGTGTCTGATGGCGGATCAAGAGAAATGCCTCTGAGAGAACAAAAAGCAAAAGAAGCCAATAGATACGTATGAAGAAATATAAGCCAATGTTTAGTATAGTAAGTCTGTGTATGTTAAACTAAATATTTAAAAATTTTGGATTGCTTTGTGTTTGATTAAAAAAAGAAAACAATGAATGTAATTTTTTGACATCCTTAAAACATGGGTCTTGTAGTGAATATAAATCTGTTCTCTGGGTTTCTTTTTAGCTCCATCTGAAGCTCCTGCAGTTGTTGAAGCCAGAGCTCTCTCTGCCAAAGCTGCCACTGTGTCCTGGATGCCCCTCTCATATAATAATTTAGATGGATACCAGGTCAGTAGAAACGTTTATGAGGCTTGATCACAGTAGTAGTCATCACTTTAGCTGATTCAAACACCTCCATTTGTGACTTTTTTTTGCTCACAATGCAAACTTACTTTAAGCACCTCTAAGGAAAACCACAATCAATTTAAATCCATCAAAACACACATCAATACAAACATATTGCTTTAAATATAAAGACGTGCTTTTCTCCAGCATTTCTCAAAAACTGTTAAACTGATACTTATATTTAATAAGGTTTTCACTTGTACAGAGCGCTTTGAAACCAAGATGGTATCCTTGCAGTCTCACCCATGCGTCTTTGTTTCCCAGGTGAAGTACTGGGAATCTGGTCAAAGTGAAGGGCAGGCCGAGACGATTGCCGTGTCTAGCAGGGAGAACCACACTAAACTAGAAAACCTGAGACCTTACACAGAGTACATTATTGAGGTTCGAGGCTACAACTCTGCAGGATATGGGCCACCCAGCCACCACTTCCGGGTCCTAACCAAGAAACCCCGTATGTTGCTCTTTACAGTAGTTTATCATTAACTAACAGAGAAGTGCTTGGAAAACAGTTCAGTGTTGTGTCTGTAAGAACAGTGCATTCTGCACACAAGATTTGAGCCATTTAAAAATAAACATATTCATGATTGCTTTGTTTTAACTTCACCAGCACCAGACCGAGCCCCCAAAATAATAGCTAAAAAAGTGAAGGGCCAGTCAATAAATATTGCCTGGGAACAAGTGGAACCGATGGCTAATGAGTCCTCAATAGAAGGGTACCGAGTGAGTTTCATCTTTTCATCATTCTTGTTTCATCTCTTAAATAAAAAGAATAGCTGCTGAGACCCTTTTCGTTATTTATTAATATGCATTAAACATATGTGCATATGCAGGTACTATACAGGCCAGAGGGCCAAACCACAGGCACTCTGTACAACACCTACAAGCGAAACATTGATCTTCCCCTACCTCCAAATGGGAACTATGTGGTGGAGGTCCGGGCACACACAGAAGGAGGAGATGGGGCTACGACCACAGTCCAGATCACAGGTAATAAAGTGATTTTGAGTTGATTTAAGATCCCTAGTTTCCTAAGTTGGCTTTTGTGTTTAATTCTGTCAACATGGTGTCTGATTGTGCTTAAATGGAAGAACGTATGTGGCTTAAAACACCTGAAAGAACAAATTTAGAAGAGATAAACATTCCTTCAAATTCCTTTTGAATTGTTATCTTTTAAGATTAAATTACTCTTATTCCATGAAACTAATCATCCATGAAAATTCTATTCCATCACCACCCAGGTTTAGTTTCACTCACAGGAAAAAAATAAGACTTAAGTAATTTGATGACATTTAAAATCCATATTCCTGTGGGGAAAGACACACACTTCATTCCTGACCTGCCAGTTTCTGGTGGGATTACAAGTTCAGAGTATGCAGTAGGTTATCATTTGTCACAGCTAGAGGGTTCCCATGGGCCAGAGCAGAGCTGTCACTTCTGGTTACATACTTTAGATTGGAAAGCTAAGATGGCCCGTGACTAAAGCCTTGATAGCCCGCTGACTGGATCCTCTCTCTGGCTGATGGACTGACGGGGCAGGCCAACTGCATAGAAGAGCTTAAGCTTCTGTAATTGATCTTGATGAGAAGAGGAAACCCCTCCTGTGGTTTTCCTTATCCCTTATCATTCAGTCCAGACCCCACCTGACAGCGTGATTTCACAGACCGGGAAATTTCAGCCGTGAGGGATTTTAAGTGCAGGGCACTGACAAATAGAAGGGCATTTAAGGCATTATCCACACAGATGGGGTATATCACACTTCACACTCCAAACATGGTCTTGAGTTTGATGGTTGAGGATTGGTGGGGAGTACAGTATTTCAGTATTTCCAGATGTTGATAACAACAATAATAATAACGTTCCTGTTCCATCTTCTATGTTTGCAAGTTACCAAAGTGTTGCAGTGGCTTATGAAAGCAAATACTAAGACAAAGACAAAATATATAAAAATATAATTAAAAGCATACTGGTAGGTGTCATTAAGATTACTTACAGTTTATGGACAATGAACAGTTTGATCACCTAGCACATAGGTGTCAAACTCTGGCGCGCGGGCCAAATTTGGCCCGCAGCCTAATTACATTTGGCCCCCGAAGCCATACCAAATGACTATTAGAGCTGGCCTACTGGTATTATACAGCTAACATATATATAGTTTAGTATTGCTTGTTCCATATTCAGTTTTTCAGCAAAACGTGTTTGAGTCCATAAGAAAAAATTCATTCTTATATCTGGAGCAATAAATATATTTCAATAAATATTAATGTTAGCCCGCGACTTTGTTCCAGATTTGAATTTTGGCCCACTGTGTATCTGAGTTTGACACCCCTGACCTAGCAGGTTGAAACTGATTTTGCAAACACAACAGTGACACTCAGTGTCTTGGCACGGTTAGGGGTGATGTGCAGTCTCATTGTTGTTGTTGTAGGTTCCAGCTATTGATGAAGGTATACCTACATTTCTCCTTCTCTGTCAGGTGGGGGTGTCTCGGCCGCCCAGTCTCTCAGCGTACTCTCCCTGCTCTTTGTGGCTCTCCTCTGCCTGAACCTCTGAATGTAGCGCCATCTTTGTCTTCACTTCCTGTGAAGGAGACTCCTGCAAGGACTTTGAGCCTCTTTCCACAATCTTTCAGTTCCGCCCTGTAATCTGGGATGCCATGTTCTGGCTCTTTCCTCTGGAATACGTTTGTGGAAACGGACACAGAAATGGAAAAATTGGAAAAAGGACAAAGACATTCCTTATTTATCCACAAAAATGGCCTCTTTGGAGAAGAGTCAAAGGAGTTCTGTCAACTTTAAAAATATGCCTTATATAAATGACTGCACTTATCCTTCACAGCAACTTGTTTTAAAACGTTCTGGAAGTGCAAACGCTGCACTTTTGATAGGCTGGCTGTTTGGTCATTTTAAATCACAACGCTGTTCTTTCTTATTATAAAGATGCTGTATGTTTGGTCTGTGACGTTCTGGAAAATTCTTCCTACAGTGCATTCCATAATATAAGGTAAACAAGTAACTGTGAAGGGTAAGTGTATGAGTTTATAAAAAAATATCTTCATGTGTTTCATGGCTTGCTGTTCGGTGGAATTTTTTTTTTCTTAAATTAAGCACACCCTCTGTTAACGAGATACAGTCAAATCAAATCTCAACCGCCTGCATCCTTTCAGACGCAGGTAGAGAAATGAGCAGATGATGCCATGATGAAAAGTAATCAGTAATTGATATTGTTTTACTGTCTAGTATAACAAGGTTTTTTAAAGAGAAGTGGATTGGTTTAACCATGCAATTGCTGCTTACCTCCAAACCGTAACATAAGCTTTACTAATACCTGTGCGCATGTTGATGAAGAGACGATTGAAATGGCTCAGAGTGTTCTGATTCTGGCACATTTATACCCAAATACAGAATCCATTGGAACCAACCCACAGCAGCAGGAAGTTCCAACAACGTCTAAAGGAAGTTTAAAATGTAAAACTGCGGCGAACAGTGTGTGACTGTGATGAAGGCTTTGCAGAAACATTTAGATTGATGTTCAACCGAGACTGAAAGACATCGCCCGTGATCTAAACTAAATCTACTTTGTTTTGACTGTATCATTAGGACCTCAGTGGTACCACCTGGTGCTTTGTAAACGAATGTTGGCATTTTATTTAATGTGATCAGTTTCATTTAATATCTCTCATTTATGGCTTTGAGTGCGAGTCCCTATTAACAGTGAGAGTGAATGGTAGCGACGCTCATGCCCTCCTATAATTGTGCAATGTCTGAATTACCTGTGGCTACTTTATATTTTCTAACAGGATCATTGCATTAGCACCTGTTTTCATTCTCTAAAAATCAGAAGGTAAGCAAAGCCATCCGAGTCAGCTGTAAGAGCTCATCCAAAGCTCACGATGTTATTCTGAATACATTTTTTGTCTTTTTATTAACATATGATCAGAGATATATAAACATTGTCATTTTTTTTGTTTTTTAATATTATATTTGTATGTCTCCGCCCAGCTCTGGTTGGACAGTTTCAGAGTTTATTTCTCTCAACTGGAGGAGCAAACGGTACATTTTGAGTTCCTCTGATTTCTCTCTTGTGTGACTGACGTTGGTCATGCTTCTTACATTGTGACGATATCAATGTCCACCACAAAGTGCTTTTTCCTGACTTTTCTTCATGCCACAAAACATAAAAAAAAGAGTTGCCAAATGCATGAATGCCTTGAACTTTGACATTTTTGGAAGAAGCAGCAGCTCAAAATTATAACATGCATGAGATTGGAGAGCAAGTGGTACATTACTTTGCAACACTTCCACATCATAGCGACTTCTCGGCCTCTCGGCTTCATGTGAAACACATTCCATACCTGAGTGGCATCCCTTTACGTCAGAGAAGGAGTAGATCCTAGACTAATATGTTCGTTAGCTGCTAAGCGAGAGAGAAAATCTTAAACTGACTAAAGGAATCTCACTCATTTGAGTTCAGAAGTGGTCCCGCAGTCTGGTACATGCAATGGCTGCGATTTGATAGTATCATTGGTGGCTGTGGCAGCATGTTTGGCTGCCTCCTGGAATTCAGTGCTTCGTTGGACATGAATGGCATATATGAGGGATGAAACTGAAACCTCTCATTGGCTGGACAAGGAACAATAAAAGTGTAGTTAACTATACATTCATATACTGTTCTGCTCTTTTCTTTGTCATTCTTGCAGCAGCTGCTCAGTGAATGCTCATCAACATGCCCCAAAAATGACTTGTACTGCTTTTCAGTTGATTATTTGAAATGATTTACTATTACAGATCCATAACATGGCATCAAAAAAAGTGTCGTTTTTCAAGTAAAAGTACCACGGATAAATACAAACTCTTTATTTATAGGACAGGCATTTCACAAGGAGGATAGCAGACTTTCAGCTCTAACATGCTCTATAAAGTAAGAGAATCAAAAGCATCATCTGTCATGTATAGGCATGTTCTTGTCAGTTTCTGTGTGTGTCCCCCTTTTATCTAGAGAAAAAAAAAAGCTTTCCTTTACAAAAGCTGGTACCAAATATATCAGAGATAGTGTTTCATTCTGGCCTCCATTACAGATAAGGCCTGTTCCACTTTTTCAAGGAGAAACAGCTGTTGGAGTTGTGTGTCCTATCAGGTATTGAGCAGATGAAAAGTAAATTGTTATCACTTCTTTTCTTGGATTAGGTCGAATTCTTTTTGGGCTTTTGGCCATCTTGCTGTTTCACCCAGGGTTCTTAACAGTTTTTTACCCCTGTGAAATCAGAGAGAGAGAGAACAAAAGACAGAGATAACCTTTTTTTCTGCCATGATTTAATGGCTTATCACTCCAAGCATATGGCCTCTGTGACAGGTGGCCGTGTAACACTTTCCACAAAACACACATACAGCAATTGTTAAAGTCTGGTGCTGTGCTCTAGAGGAGTCCTACTGCTCTTCTAGATCACAGCAGGAATCATTTAAATGTAGCAGCACTTTTTTAAAACAGATTTACACAACAAAGTGCTACTATTTCATTTGCACCGAGTGATGGTGGGAAAAAAAATAAAACGTACATTTTTGGAGAAAGGTGCAGTCCCTGGACAGATTGCACTTTTGCCTTTGTAAATCTACGCCAGTTCATTCACAACTCGGAAAACACAAAACACACTTTAAAGCGGTGCAACAGCTGACTAGAAACAGAATGCATTGCAGGGAGATCTGAAATGTGATGCTGTGTGAGATGGCTGCTGCATGCCATGCTGCATGGACTAATGTAGTTGTCTATAAACTGCATTGCCAGTGCATCGCACCCCTGAGACTATTTTCACTATTGTAGAACTACTGTAGTGTACTAATAAGCAAAGAGAATTAATAGTGGAGGAGGAGCAAACTGATAACTGCAATCATCATTTGGACTGCCTAATTGAAAAGCTGGAGGGAGTTAATTGTTTCAGACTATGCGGGATATTGAGCGACCTCTGCTGGAAAAGGTTAGTAACACATGAAATCACATTACAATTAAGAGAAGTTGCACAAAACTGAGAGAAAATACGCAAAATAAAATACCAACATGATGATGAGGCTCACTTATATATGACAGGATAACGAATTGACAAATCAAATAATCAAATAAGATTAAATAACTATTGCGCATCATACATAACTGGTATTAAATTCATTATATCGACTGTGAAGAGAAAAAGTTACAGAGATATCGACCCTGTCCAGAAACAGCAGGAAGTCAGGAGGTTGAAGTTTGCTGTTCACATTTGTCATGTGCTGAAAAAAGTGGCGCAGCCCATCAGCTCAGCGAGAGCAACCCAGATCGCTCAAACTTTTCAGTGCGCGCACGCCTTCATGTGTCCAGACTTGTAAATTGGAATAACTTCGTCCGAGCTCGTTATTCCGCGTACAAAAGTTGCCCAGGCAAACTATGTGCGCTGATTGCCCGAGTGCTGGTGTGGAGAAGGATCCAGAGAGCCGAGTTTTAACCCCAGGCGGGATGGAGTCGCAAACAAAGCCACATCGCGGTGAAGGTGTTTGTCAGAGAGGATGCGGTCTCCTGCTGTCCGGTCTGGACGTAAGTAAAGGGGAGCACTGCTGTGTGGAGGCGCTCCGCACTGTCGCCGATGCTTTGGAGGAGAGAAGCGTAACTTTGGAACACGAAGCCCGGATAGCGAGGCTCAGGTGGAACAGGAGGGAGCAGTGCCTTTTAGCCCAGGTGTCAACTCTGCAGAACCAGGCTCAACTCGACGCACTCAAGTACCAAAGGAGGCTTAACCAGTACTTGGTGCACATCCGCAGTATTGCAGAACAGTTAGCTGGTTACTGCAAGGTGAGAGGTGCTTTCTCTAAGGCTATTTTGTGTAAAAAAAAATGTCATTTATCAGTTGAGAAACACACAACACTGTGGGACTTTTTTTGTTGTTAAATGTGTGTTTGTGTTGTTTTATTTGACTGAATCAGAGTGACTCCAGCCTAGCTGCTGACATGGAGAGCAAGGTATCAGATAATGAGGAAATGGCACAGGGTCAAACCAAAGCACACCAGGTAAGAGAAGCACACTGCCCATAACAGCTTCTCAATCAATGTCATATTCAGGCTTTAAGCACTTTTGCTGACATGGCCGGTAAATGTGGCTGATTCATTAAAAAAAAAAAAAAAAAAAAAAGCTTCACAGCATATAGTGCTTATCCAACGTGCCCAGAGGCAACAGTTCACGTGCTTTTTGAATTATTAAATGTTAAATATCTGGTAGTATCCACTGAGACACTTCTGGTGTTGTTGAGAAAGGATGTGTTTCCTCCTGCTGTCTTTCACCTGCTGCTTCTGCTCAGCTTTAACCCCACAGCAAGTTCATTCTGTGAGTAAATGTTGACTGTGGGATAGCAGTCCGTCTGAAGAATGCTTAAACAGTAGCAGGTATTCTCTCATCACACTTCCTGCTTATTTGTCATGTTTGTGTAGTGGTGTAGTGTGTACTTTAATTTTGTGTAAGTTTATTTACAAAGGCATTGACTTGATCACTTTCATGCACATTTCAGCCAATCATAGCATCCTCTGTATCTTTTAACCTACAGAGAGTAAAACAAATGTAGGCCAGTGTCGAAACTTATCAAAAGAATCACCGAATGACATTTATATTGAGTTGCAAGTGCACTTATTAATGCATTTACAAGCCATTAATATATTAATGTTTATCTCCTAAATAAACTGACTTCCATTTTCCAAGCCGCAAGGTTCAATCTTCAAGTATCTCTTCAGATCTCAAATAAGTCGATCAGTCTGCAGCGGAAAAGACTGGAAAGGCTGGAATTTCAATGTTTTGACATTTCCCTTAAAATGAGGTTTGGTTAATTTTCTGGAAGAACGACTGATGGCTTTTTAGAAAAAGTAAAAAGCCCACTCTCACTTCTGTCGTCAGCAGTTTGGATTAAATGTTAAATGCCTGTTTTTGTAATGTGTTTTCTCCAGCCTGGGTGTCATTTTTGTGTAATTGCTCACAACCGTGTCAGTATATAATTGATGAGCTAAACTGCGTGGACACGTTTTGTAACTGCTTCTGCGACTTTGTGCTACAGAGGTTTATTAAGCCCGTTGCTTCCAAATCTAACATTAAGCTCTTGTTTTTGGTAAGCTCACAAGGTAACCTGAAAGTTTGTGTTATGGCCAGGGACTGTGTTGTGTTTGGGCTGCTGGTGGAGGTGGATGGGTTTAATCGTGGTAATGGTCACGTAAAGTATCTCTCTAATTGCCTGCAGCATGCTCAGAGTGCAACAGACTCACTTTTGATTAATGTGGAAAACTCTCCTCTGCCAGCCCCTGGCAGCAACACAGGATCTATTTTAAGCTCTGTCGTTCTTGTTTTTGTTTAAATACTCCTTTCTAATATGTCTTTTAATAGTTTTTTTTTTTTTCACCATTTGTTTGCTTCTTTTTCTTTCCAAATGGATTTTCCAATACTTTGGAGTGCTGGGTTGCTGTTCATAAAACATGGTTTTCAATTTTAGAGGAAATCCACTTTGCTGGAAAAGCGATGGGTCTTCTGTCTGTGTGGACAATGCAGCTGGGCGACTAGTAAACATCCCAGCAGAAGTTATGGCTCGTCAAAGACCTCTTTGTGTGGTTGGAAAGCAGGCCTAATGACACTTTATTGAGCCCCTTTAGTTATGCCTGTCACGTTTTCCATCCTAGAATTGCACACATGTAGTGCTAAAATGGAAAATGTGTTGCAAGTTACTGAAGCAGTGGTTCTCTCATTTCAGACAAAGGAGGTAAAACAAAGCCCTTCTCATTATGAGTCTGGGTAAAAGAAATATGTTTGAAATACATCTTTTATCCTTGATGGGTACATATAGCGTGGCCTGCAAAACTAAGACTAATCAAGATGCGTCTTTTTTCCATTTTTTTTTTTTTTAAATTTATAACACTAACTTACATTTTGTTTAATATTTTACTGCTTTACTGACAGGATAAATAAACAGGTATGGGCTCCACAAGTCTGTATGACCCATGTTATCTAAGCATGGTCTGACAATGCTCCAAAAAGCTTATTGAGATATAAAGAATGCTTTTCTTATTTTGGCGATAGTATAATATTGCCAAACGTGCTCACCAGTCTAAATCATTGAATCCAGATGGTCCAATCACTTCCATAGCCATAGGTGTATAACGTATTCCATAGTCAACTGTTACTGGTATTACAGTATATTTATTTGTATTATGTCAAAAGTGGAACGAATAAAGTGATAGTGGATGCTGAGGTGCATCTTGCACAGAGGTCACCAACTTTCTGCAGAGTAAATTGGTACATAACTCAGAACTTCATGTGGCCTTCAGATTAGCTCAAGAAGAGAGCATAGAGAGCTTCATGGAATGGGTTTCCCTGGCCAAGCAGCTCCATCACAGCCTTACATCACCGAGTACAATGCAAAAGGCTGGATGTGGTGTAAAGCATGCCGCCACTGGACTCTATAGCAGTGGAGACCTGTTCTCTGTAGTGACGAATCACACTTGTCTAACTGACCAAGTCTGGTTTGGTAGTTGCCAGGGTAACGCTACTCGTCTGACTGCACTGGGTTAAGTGTAAAGTTTGGTGGAGGGAGGATTATGGTGTGGAGTTTGAGTTGAGTTGAGCTCTGCAATTTAGTGAAAGGAACTCTTAATGCTTTAGCAC